TAAAGACGTTTAAAAATGTATTGAAACAAAGATAAAAAGGGCTTCAGATTTTTGCTGACTCTGATATATGAAGATACAGATTCTTCAGCATGCTTCTCAAATTTTGCTGCTCTGGAAACAATTCAGTACGTCTACAGAGGATTTTGACATTAACACTTGTGCTGAGCTTTGGTGGAACACCTTTTTTACTATGTTCTATTTTAAAACTGGAATAATTAGAAATTGACAAAATCCATCCCAATTACTTTCAGATATGTTTTATCTATTCCACTGGAAAGTAAATGTGTGTCAGTATTAAAGCTGTGCAGTACCATGATATTCACTAACTTGTGCATCTGCTTCTGTATGTTTTTGTTCATTAATAATTTGCTTACAATATTACACAACAAGAAGTTGTTGTGCATCGCAAAATGTCTCCATGATCTTACAGGGGATGAGGTTTTTTTCTCTCTTTTCTATACAGTGTATTTCCAGCAAACAACAATACATATTTTTAAAATGCAGTTTAATTTACTATTTTTTAAAAAAGTAGTATTTCATTTTTTAAAAAAACTGAAAACATTTATTGTGAATATGTGTTTTTAGAAAGGGGATGTTGCAGTGGCACTTAGTCTTCCAAATTGTTTTCTATTTTTTTTTTTTTTTTTGGCTACAGATTGTTCATGGAAAAAGTATGACCTCTTAATGTGTTTCATTGGTATTGTTAGTGCAGCAAAGTTTAATTGGCATAGAAGTTGGTTGATAGTACTGTCTAAGTGTGTATTGTATATTTACTGGGGAAGAAAATAAAACGTATTCACATTTCAAATTTATGTTAAAATAATGAGTAAGGAGTCAATATGTGAGAAGAGTCAATAAACTTAAATAACCTAAAATACCATAAATAAAACTATCCAGTGGCTGGACAAATTTGAAGCTAGACAAATTCAACCTGGAAATAAGATGGAAATTTTTAGCCATGAGGATAATCAGTCATTGGAACAATTTACCAAGGACTATGTATCTCTGGTAAATTTTCAATCATGATTATATATTTTTTCTAAAAGATATGATCTAGGAATTATTTTGGGGAAGTTCTATGTCCTGGGTTACACAAGAGGTCAGATTAGATTATCACAATGATCCCTTCTAGCCTTGGAATCTATAAATCTATAAACTGGGAAGAAATAGGGAATTATAACATTTACTGAGCTATAATGTTCACTGTCTACTTTCAGGTACCAAGTACTGCTGAACAAAGCTGCTAACTTTCTTAGGAACTCTAGGACAAATTGATCATCCACATCAGCTGCATGGCATCATTGAAATCAATTCTGCTGTACCTGCTTAGGCTAGTAGTAAATATTACCCACCATGGGTGACTTGCATATAAGGTCTCATGAAGAGTGAGAATAGTTTTACAGATATTCACCAATTTAACCATGTTGGTGCTACACTCCCCAGGTGGACATATGGTATTATGTAAAACAAGGCTTTCAATTGCATGGCTTACTCGGAGTGAATATTGTTTTACATCAATGCCGCCCATGTACACTGGGATTACACTGGTACAAATATCCCCTGTATAAACCAGTTTTCCCTGACATTTGTGTAGAATAAATAATAAGGAAAAGATTGTTGAAATAAAAAAAAATCTGTACATGTTCTTCAGATACTGTTTGGGCAGCTACCTCAATGATACATAAAGAAATACTAAAGACAGTGTGCAATAGAATATTTATTAAATGTTCATTAAGCTCCTGCTCCAAAGCCCATTCCAATGAATAAACATTTCACACCCACAAATCATCAACAACTTCAGTGGGGCTCTGATATATTTAAGGAATGCAGGACCCAGGTTGCAAATATTTAAGGATCCCAAAGATCCTTAAATACAACTCAGACAGTTGTAAATACTGGTCAGGAAGAAGAGGTTTTTTTTAAAAGCATGGATTATTCTAATGTATTTATTAAACTATATAAAGAGCTGAACAGAAAATTAAGAATCAGTCCAAAATAACTCTCTTGTGCATGTCTCCAATTTCTATATTGCCTGGCAATAGAAATGTTCATTAGCAGCCATGAGGAAGAGTCCTGAGAATCAAAAAGGGACGGACAAAAATTGTCTCTTCAAAAAACTTCATAGAGTAATTTTGCTTTATTTTAGGCCATTTCCATTGTCATTGTTTTTCTCAAATTACTGGAAATTGAGTTGAGGTGCTACTTAAAAAAAAAAAATGGGAACTGCAAATTTAATGTGCTTTTTTCCCGCAAAGTTCTGTTTGAAAATAGATTTGAATTAACTTGAATGCTTTTGTCCAGAAGTTAGACATCTGTATTTCTCATGGACTTAATAAAAAAATAGCTATTTTTTAACTCATTCATCACATCTGGAACGCTTTCACTAAAAATATGTTATTTTTGAAAACCAAATGGGACATGGACATGGATTAATTCAGGATTTCTGTTAAAATTAGAAGTGTAGCAAGCAATACATAAAAATATAAAGGCTACCAGATTACTTTGACTCAGTTACATTCATTTTAAACATCCCTAAGATGAGATATAGCCGGGTAACATTTGAAAAATCCTTGGACGTAGTACACTCCCAGGAAGGAGAGGGATTCCTGAATGGAACAGAGTTAAAATTGTGAGTGATGTGATGAAATTAGAAAATATAGTTTCACCAGGAAAATCCTTTTATTGCGATCAATCATTTTTTCTCCTTCCTGGATGTTTACACCTGTTGGCTTTCTCCCAGTCCTGCTCTGCAACCTTTAATGTTAAGTGCCAGCAGTCTGGTTCCATTTTGGTTTAGGTGGAGCCCATCCTTCCTGTATAGAAAGGGTCCCAAAAGTTTTGCCAGTTCCTAATAAATCTAAACCCCCTCCTCTCTATACCATTGTCTCATCCATGCATCGGGACTCTGAAGCTTTGCCTGGTCCTGCACATGGAACTAGAAGCATTTCAGAGAACACTAACTTAGAGGTCCTGGATTTCAGTCTTTCCTAGTAGCCTAAATTTGGCCTCCAGAACCTCTCTCCTACCCTTCCCTATGTCATTGGTATCTACATGTACCATGACCACTGGCTCATCCGCAGCACTACACATAAGACTATCTAGATGTCTCGAGAGATCTGCAACCTTCACACCCGATACGCAAGCCACTATTCAGATCTCCCGGTCATCACAACTCCAGCTAGCTATGTTTTTAATGATCAAATCCCCCATTACTAACATCTGCCTTTTCCTAACAACTGGAGTTCCCTCCCCTGAAGATGTAACCTCAATGTGAGAGGATACCATAACATCCCCCACTAAAGCCATGCAGGTTTAGAACCCTATGCCCAGGTTCAACTTGGCTTAGAAACTCCCAGGTAAAGGCAAGTTGTGATTCCGAGCCCCTTCACAGTCCCTCTGAAGAGAATCCTTCATATGGCTGGTTTCACTTCCTTTAGGCAGAAATGGAACTCTATAGAGCACCTCCTCTTAGCCTGGCTTTCTGGGTCAGAGCACGTGTTCAGGAGTGTTGATTGCTATGGGGAGGAAGTAGCAATTTCCCTTCAGCCATTTTATACATCACTGTATTCCATGATGGCTTTCACTTCTTTTTGATCTTCCATCACTTATCTTTCCTGCCTATAATAGAGCTACTATAATCCTAGATGCTGACACAACTTTGTCTCCTACCCCCCTAAATGTTTCTGAAATGACACCTCTGCCATGTTAACTTATCACATTTGACATCTGCATGGCACTTCTCTCTGGGTGCTTGGCCCCAGTAGCTCATTAAAGTAATGTAACACCGCTTCTTCAAAAGAAAACAAATCTCTTATTCACTCAACAGCACATAAAATCAGCAAATAAGGTAAAAACAATAAATGACTATCCACCAGGGACTTTCACCTTCCCTTTTCCTTGCAAATTTTGGTATGTGCCATTCAGTCAGAGCACACACACTGGGCATGCTCCTGGACTGGCAGGAGTAGGCTGCCCTACTGCAATTTCTCTCTTTGTGTCTCACCTGCCATGTTTTCCCCACTTGATGCTCACCTTACTCTCCTTCCCCCAGCTCACCAACATATCCTTTCTATATAGTAGGGTTTAATGGTTCAATGTCCTTTGCGCTCAGTGCTCCCAGCCTTGGGAAAATATGCCTGTTTATCTGGTTGGCAACAGACAGCGAAGTATGTCCTGATTAGTAGTACCCACTGATATTTTAAGGACTTTTGAAGTGTTTCCTACTAAGCTAGCTTATTGGTTCAGTTCCTACTTGTTACCCAGCAGCCCTGTATAAAACTGAATCAGTCCACTCATGCATCCCCATATGACACTATGCATTGCCTTTCTTAATAGTTAGGTCACATAGTCATAACATTAGTACAGATTAACCCTACATTCAGCCTACTTATTTC